AAAACCCAGACAAACCAACAAGCGACAACAACAAAAAACCAAACCAAACCAAAAGAAATTCTTATTTTCCTTGGATTATCAGGGCCTTTTCCTCACTAAGGGGAAAATAAAAGTATTATTCTCCTTCCTTGGCAAAGGATGATCCTTCTCTATTTCTGGACATTTCTCAAATGCAGATTCTCACAAAAGATGCCGTTACTACCCAAGTCGATGGAGTGGTGTACTACAGGATCCACAGTGCTGTCAGTGCCGTTGCTAACATCACTGATGTCCACTCAGCTACCTTCCTCTTGGCACAGACAACCCTGAGAAATGTTCTGGGTACGCAGAGCTTGGCTCAGCTCCTGGCAGGTCGAGAGGAGATTGCACACAGTATCCAGGTAAATCTGGCTCTGAAAATTAACTGGCAAACATGGAGATTTGTTCTGGAGAATAGGAAATTAGAAGCAATCCCTCTTACTTCAACAACAATAACAAAATTTTCCTTTATTCTTTTTATCTGTTATGCATCTCATTGCTTAGAGGCAGCAGAAGTTATTCTGAAGGTATTTCCCCAAGTTCTTGTGGAAGAATTATTTCCTACCAAAGGAAATGAAGATTCTGAAATTATCCAGTGACTGGATAGTCTTGCACAGAGGCTACTGCAAGCATTAAGACATCTGCTGTTAGTGGGAGGCTCTGTCTTGAGCAGCCCCTTCACTGAGATTTAATCGAGGCCGGATTTGTGTCTCCTGTCATAACAATTGAGAGTGCAGAACCAAGTTGTTTCATCCTTTAAAATGCCATCTGTTTTGTTTTTTTTCTTATCTGGCAGCCAAGGAGGGAGCAGAGAAGAAATCTAACACCTGATTTTCTCTTTTCAGTCCAAGATTATTCATAGTCAGATCAAAAAGAGATTGTACCCCTCTCCAGCCAGGAGAGCAGCCATGGTCGTGGTGGTGACCTGGATTGCAGTAGTGCCGAGGAGCCTGAGCACAGCAACTACCTTAAAGGAGGTTGTAGGGAGCTGGAGATCGGTCTGTTCAACCAAGTAACAAGTGATAGGACAAGATGAAATGGCCTCAAGTTGCGCCAAGGAAAGTTTAGATTGGATATTAGGAAGAATTTCTTTACTGAAAGGATTATCAAGCATTGGAACGGGTTCCCCAGGGTAGTAGTGGAGCCCTCGCCTTTGGAGGAATTTGAGTTGTGTAGACACAGTGCTTAGGGACATAGTTTAGTCAAGGACTTGTCAATGTTAGGTTAATGATTGGACTTGATAATCTTAAAACTCTTTTCCAACCTAGGCAATTCTGTGTTTCTGTGCCAGTGCTTCAGGCCTGCACGATGTCTTTCACCTACAGTGTAAAACTGTTTTTACAGTGTTGTGCTGTTTTCGGAAGTTACTGTAGTATTACTTTGCAAAAGGGAGACATCTGCTAAGTGCCCACCTAAAGAAAGGACAAGCATGATAATACAGGAGGCAGCAGAGGAGCCACACAGGTGTTGATCAGCAAGAGTTTCATGAGGTTGTGGTGCCTATAGTACACACGAGATGTTGGGTGCTGGTGCCCCTGGGGAGGGCTCCATTTCTCTGTCGTGCACGTTTTCATGCTCCCTTTCCTCCTGCCCAAGGGGCAGGGTACATCATGTGGTTTCCTCTCTGCCATCACTGCATCTCTCTGCCATTGCTGCACCTTGAGTCCTGTGTGCAGTTCTGGGCTCCACAGTACGGGAAGGACATCGAGGTGCTGGAGAAGGGACAGAGAAGGGCAACCAGAATGATTAGGGGACTAGAGGGTGAGTCTTATGAAGAGAGGCTGAGGGAGCTGGGGCTGCTGAGCCTGGAGAAGAGGAGGCTGAGGGGAGACCTTATTGCTCTCTACAACTCCCTGAAAGGCAGCTGTAGTGAGACGGGTGTTGGCCTCTTCTCCCTAGTGAATAGCAATAGGACAAGAGGGAACGGGTTCAAGTTGTGCCAAGGGAAGTTTAGATTGGATATTAGGAAAAATTTCCTCACTGAAAGGGTGCTGAAGCATTGGAATGGGTTGCCGAGGGAGGTGGTGGAGTCACCATCCCTGGCCATGTTTAAAAAACAGCTGGATGTGGTACTTCAGGAGACGGTTTAGTGTTAGGGTGGTGTAGGGCTGTAGGTTGGACTTGATGTTCTTATGGTCCTTTCCAACCTTGATATTTCTATTATTCTATCACTGTGCTGTGTGTTCATCCCTAAGGCTATCCTCGACAGTGCCACGGAGCAGTGGGGAATCAAAGTGTCCCGAGTGGAGATCAAAGACGTCAGGATTCCCGTGGCCATGCAGAGGGCAATGGCAGCTGAAGCAGAGGCTGCTCAAGAGGCAAGAGCTAAGGTGAGACCCACAGCAATGTCAACTCCAAGCTCCTGTATCCTTGTCCCAGACATCCAAGTGCCTGTTTGTTTTCTCCTTGTTGTAAAGGTGGGCTTCCCCAACTCTAGGCAGCGTCACAGTGCCATTTCCATTTCTCTTTGCAGGTTGTGGCAGCAGAGGGAGAAATGAATGCTTCTAAAGCCCTCAAGCAGGCCTCCATGGTTCTGGCCGAGTCTCCAGCAGCTCTTCAGCTGCGCTACCTGCAGACTTTAACAACCTTGGCAGCAGAGAATAATTCCACCATCGTCTTCCCTCTCCCTATGAATGTACTTGAGAGTCTGAGGCAGAAAAATAGAGGTGGATAGCGACTGTTCTATGCTAGTTCCTTGGGCAGAGGTCTAAAGGGTTTCCCAGGAAACAAGGGGTTCCATATTACCAGCGTTAAAGTAAAAGTATGCTTAGGTCCTCTGTACCAAAAGTAAGAGTAAAAATAGTGTAATAACCAAATGTAGCTCCGATATTAGGACACTACATTTGCAAAGTTCTTACACTAAGCAGTTTTAGCTTAGACTCATCTCCAAGTGAAATGGCAGAAAATATGTAAAATGCAATAAAATATATAAAGTGCATGTTAAACCTAATATAAAAATTTAATGATGCTTTCACCACATTTTAGAGAGTCTTGAGTATAGCAATTATTTGGTCAACTGTCTGCTAAGCAAGAACCTCTGAGCTATTGGTGTGCTCCACACAGCAAAAGAGTTAGATGCTGATATTTAACTCAAATCCTATGGAGTGGAAAGAAGGATTTGACCACTAACCTTAGAGGTATTCTGTTAGGAGAATTACTGGATAATAGGTATATCAGTGCAACAGCCTAGTCTTTATCTTATATGAGTTAAAATTAGTACTTGTTTTACTGACATGAGTTGGATTTTGCCATATCACTGACATTTCTATAAGCTCAGTAATAAAAGGAGGAGAATATATGTTCATGCATTACAGTTACATCTCCTAAGTCTGAAAGATCGGGCAAATCTTCAGGAAAACACATTGTCTCTAGTTAAGTGTTTGTCTTTTGTGAGGTTTCTTATCCTCCCATGCAGATGTCATGAAGCAGTGGTACAAGTTTTCATAAAATGAGCCCTCCCCACCCTCCACCCATCCAATGCCTGGCAGCTGAGCAGGGGACGTGGCTCATATCTGAGCTCACCTGCCATTATACCTGAGTTTACAACTTCCAAAAAGAGCTGGGCAGCTCACGTTGCTGGCCTACAGTGACAGGCTGTCTGCTATGAACCTGAAGGTTCTTGTGGAATAGCTGTTCTGGTGGAAAAGCTGTTCTGGTAGGTGCTGCTGCCATGTAGGCACAATCCACAAGGCTCACTGCTGCCCCTCCTAGCCAGGAGCATCATTTGACTCCACATTACACCAGGTTGCATGAACCTGGTAATTATTGTATTGTTGATGCAAGCCTTTCTTATTTTTACTGCAATGTTACACAAGCAGTGCTCAGTAGCGGCTGGCACGAAGGCGGTGATATGAGCATCTGAGGATGGTGACCTGTTCAGCAAACACAGCTTTTTATTGCTGCTCTTCTCTGCTTTAGAGGTGACTGCCAAATGGCATTTTGCTGGCAAACTAAAGAAGTAAAACCTGTATTTGCAAGTCACCCACTTAACGTGTTATCAAAACTTTTTCTACAGATGTTTTCTTGTCCTAAGAAAAGAGAAGTTTTGAGGCTTTTTCATTTTCAGCTTAGTTTGCCTTTAGTGAACTATTTACAACAGTGGCAGCAAAATGTCCACTTCTTGCTGCCAGAGATTGTCTCCACTGCAGAGCTGTTTGCATAGCCACAGTAGTAGCAATGCTGTAGAAAAATGCAACCACAGATGGCATTGGTTGGGGTTTGTGGGTTTTTTTAAGTAATGCAAATCTGTTATACTCTAAGAAGAGAAAAACTGGAAAGGCATATGACTACAGAGTTCAATTAAAAAGCAATTCTGTGCGCTCAGTAAGCTACAAGCACTAACCAGCCAGTCTAGGACTTCTGGGTCAGGCATAGGACATATCCAGTCCAGTTGCCCATCCCTGACATTGGGCCAGTTCTAGCTTCCAAAGTATGTATTTGTAGTACAAGTGCGGTCATTCATTACGCTACATGAGGACTCACAAGTAAAATCAGAAATTCATGTTGAAGCATGAGTGTTAGCACCTTTTTTCTTTCAGAAACAGTGTAACACAGGCTGTACTTAATAAACCCATTAACATCCAGTTCTCTTTCCAGCTGCTGCAAATTTCTTGGCCTCTTTAATGTGAACTGACAACAGCAGCAGCAAATAGTCAGCTCTTCAAGCACAATATTTTTTTTTCATTAATCCCATGCAGGATTGTTGCACTGTTGTATAATGAATCAGGGAGGTGGAAATTCCATCTCTCTCTTCAGCAGTGTCAGGGACAATAAACACAATAACTAGCAGAGTAACTGCAATTTTTGTTTTATTAACCTCCCCCACATACATCTACAAGAAGATACCCCAATCAGCAAAACATAGAGCAGGAGAAGCAGCTCTGCAATGTTTCAGGTGCCACACTGATGTACAGACTTTGAAGAAAAATTCAAGGAGCTGAGTTGCAGTCACAAGGACAGGATGTGGGGAGCAGCGGAATGGTTCAGAAGCGGCACAGGTTGTCAGACGTGTTCAAGAAGTCCTGCAGGTGAGCACAGGCTTGCCGGTGCAGAGTGGTGCGGCATTCGCCGTCCTCTGGAATTTTCTCTACCCAGGCTTGCGCATCAAGGAAGTACTGCATCCTGAGGGCAAGTGGCACAGGTAAAGGAGATGAGTCACTACTGCTGAGATGCAGCAATGGGAAAGTGTAAACCTCACAGTGTAGCATCCCTCCACCCAGGCATCTCTGAGATCACGAGGTGTTCTACTAGCCAAGAAACTCACCTGAAACCAGCAGGTTAGAATCTTAAAATGGTTTTGTTGGAAGGCACCTTCAGGATCATCGAGTCCAACCTTTGTCCTAGCCCTGTCAACACCACTAAACCATGTCCCTCAGCACAACACCCACCTGTCTCTTAAACAACTCCAGGGATGGTGAATCAACCACCTCCCTGGGCAGCCTGTTCCAATGACTGACAACCCTCTCAGTAAAGAAATTCTTTCTAATATCCAACCTGAACCTCCCCTGGTGCAACTTAAGGCCATTTCCCTGTGTCCTGTCACTTGCTGCTAGGGAGAACAGCCCAACCCCCACCTCACTACAACCTCCTTTCAGGTAGTTGCAGAGAGCAATAAGTTCTCCCCTCAGAATCCTGTTCTCCAGGCTGAACAGCCCCAGGTCCCTCAGCCATTCCTCATACGACATATGCTCCACATTCTTTACTAGCTTGGTAGCCCACCTCTGTACCTTCTCTGAGGGTACAGAGCTTTGAAGAAAGTTTGAAGAAATTAACAGAGCTTTGAAGAAAGTTTAAGTGTCAATGCCAAGCTAGGACAAACCTGGCTGTACTTGCGTTTTGAGTGACACCAGGTAAGCTTGGACTAAGAGTTTTCTGGAAAGGCACAAGAAGCTCCAGTGAACACCAATGGGACACAGTAAAGGGGTGCTTAGATTCAACAGCGTATTTCAAAATGTTTCGTAATTTTCTGTGGTAAAAGGCCATGTAGCTTCTGGCATTTTGTGACTGGGCTGGAGAAGACTTTAAAGATTACACCTCTGCTTGGAGTTTTTGCTTTTTAGTAGGCATCTATTGAAGTGGGTCCCTTGTCTTAAGCATTCAGATTGATATAGAAATAGGGAGAGGGAACCTTTTAAGGTTTTAGGAAGTGGTGTTTACAGTTCGAATGAGGTCTCTCTCCTAGAAGCTTTCAAAGGCACTACCTTTCTCCAGTGTTGTGCATGAAAATTAAACATTTAAGATGGCTTCCTCAATGAATACTTAATAGTCAGACTAAATTCCTTCTCAGATAAATTCCCTTAAGAAATGATAAGATAAATTCCCAATGAGAAATGAGAAGAATGATGTATTTGCATGCATGATGTAATAGAAGTTTTGAGAGCTGCTTTTAGCCATGGCTTTACCCATTTAATTTGCAAACACAGGAACCGGTAATGCCTTTGCAACAGATGGGACTGCGAACTGTTTCCCATTCGCCTTTTCTAGCTGTGAGTTTTTAACCTAGTGGAGTGAGGACCAAATTTTGATTCTGAAAAATGTGGCAACCAGGCTCTGCACAGATAGATGATCTAATGGTTTTGGGTGGCTCAACTCTTCCCCATAGCTTGCCTTTTGCCTACAGAGTTAGTTAAATTACTCCTCACTTTTTATTAATGCCAGCAGAATCAGTTCCTATGATATCTGGTCTTCCTTTTGCTTTCCGGAAGTGTTCTAATAGTTTGAGTACCTTCTGGATTCATGAGCTGCTATAGCAGCCACTGCTCCTCTGAAACCATTGCACTCACCTGTTCTGGCAATCAATCGTTTGCCCATCTTTCCCCATGAGGAGGTACCGTTTGCCTGTGACCATGTTTAACTCGCATGTGGAACGTCTTAGGAACTGTCGGTGGGAACCCACTTGGAGGCTTTCATCAGCAGCTGTGGCACAAGAAGACAAAAACCTCATGAACTTTTCTAATAACCACCACTGCCCACAGGACACACCTCTTCGTGGTCATTTATTCAACTGCTAAGCCAAAGTAATATTTCACTCGGGGGTTGTGGCTTGACTCAGAAGTAAATGACCATGCTAGGGTAGGATATATTTCCTTTAATGTCGTGTGACAAAAGTAAGCCATTTTTGTCTTAGCTGGTTATCTTGACCTCCTCAGTAGTTACTGAAGGAGCTGGTTTGCTATAGAGATCTTTCAGGCTGTATGGAGTTTGTTTAAATCTCAGACACTGAAAGAAAAGATTGCTCAAGCTCATACTGGTCTCAAAAGCTCGCAAACTAAATTCACATCTTACTGCTCAACAATGGAGGCATTACTAAAAACTCACTCTCCTAAGCACTTCAGACTTGAACTTCACTGATTTAGCCTTTATGCTATTCCCCCTGAAGCTGATACACAGGATGACATGCTTGGTGATCTCCACATTAAAATAACCTTGAAATTTTGGTCTAGATTCTGGCCCAGAGTATTATTCCTTCAAGAACTGCACTACCTCTTACAGAAGTCTGCATCCAAGGCAGAAAAAAGGCTGCTCACGTATTGCAATTACACGAGAGCTGGAAAGAGGCTTATTCAGACTAACCATGTCATGAGGATACTGTGTTTTTTGGCTAGAACAACAGTTTTCAAAGTCACTTTGAAAAAAAATAAATGCAAGTAACGGCAATATTCTCATTTCTTACTCTCTTTCAGACTATAATGTGAAATGTTGTGCACACTGTGGTAACAATTCAACATTAAGCCATCTTAAATTACAGGTAAAACACCACAGTCCAGAATCCTGTGCATCCTCTGCTTTCTAAAGTATTGTATTTCAACAATGGAAAAACTACTATTCAAAGTAAAATCCTAAGAGTGGAATAAAAACTTCAAATAGAATATTTTAACATTGATAAAATTTCAGAATATTTGATGTAGAGTGCTAATCTGTGAAACCTAGCACTAAGAACTTCGGCTATTTGCTATTTAAATCCTGCATTAATTTTACATATGGTACTTCTAGGCCAGAGGAAAGACAGTCTTCAGTATTGTTTACTGTTTTACATCTGCATTCTTCCAAACAACAATACAGTATTACAGTTTTTTTCACATTATAAAAGACCTTTCTGTTGTTCCTATCCTACATGCTGTACTGAATTTTTATTTTATTTGAGGAATGCAAAGATGGATGAGAATTACTTGGGAAGTGATGTTATGCTTCAGGTTGATTGCACTTAAATTACTAAGGTGTTTCTCAGTTCATATGCTTCACAAATGGCCTAACACAGTTCAAACTCTGGGGGTCATAAGTATTTGAGCTATTACTTTAATAGGTTATTGCGTAATTTCCAATTCTAAGTCTCCGATTAAAAAAAAAATATTCTAAAGCATCCAAGCAGAATTTAAGGGAAAAAAATACTTCAAGTTTTAGAATCTATAATGGGGAAAAAAAAATTAAAATTATTCTGTGATATTTTGCAAGTGCCATACTATTCTCCTAATGGACTGAGGACAGCATAAACATTAGCCATGCAAAACACCTGCAGTAGTTCTATTAATAATTGAAGTCATCCACGGAGTGCACATCTGCAAAATTCTCTTTTCTTGACTCCCAAACACAAATAAGTGTTCCCATCTGACTTCTGAACCAACTCTTTACTTACAAGGATTGATACTGAAATAATGCCAGGGGTCCAAAGAATGAGGACTTACCCTAATTCTTATCTCTCCTTGGTGATAGTAACAGAGACCAATGCCATTCAAAGCCACAGAAAATAAGAAAGGTAACCCTAATTCAGTCATGAGCTGATTTGGATGCAACACCTTGCTTCTTCTTCATCATCATGTCTTCATGACATGAATTTCCAGCTTTTCCCAAGCCTGCTGAAACAGTTTTCACTGCCTACTGATGCTCATAAACTGCCCCATACAGCACAAGGCAGAAGGGTTTTTAAAGAGATCAAAAAGAAGGAGGTAAGAATGGGAGAAGACATTTCTTCCTTTCAGCTACAGATCCAAAGGATGTTTCTCTCAGCTGCCAAGAAAAAAATCTTTCCAATGCTTGCTTGCAAGTTTTGAGTACAAATGCTTTGGGGCCTGAAGCTCTAAATCCTTTTAGATCCTGTAGTTTTTCTGGAGGCATTAATGAAACATCGTTTCGTCATGATACTGTAATCTCCCATAACCGGTGTTTTGATCACCAGGTACGTGACCGTTTCCCTGCATATGAAAACTGTGGGTGACTGATGCTGCCTTCGGACTGACAAAATGTGGACCTGGTTTTTAGACAGGAACGAGACATTGGGCACAGATCACAAGTTGTGTGCTATGAAGTACTAGGTGATATCACCAGTACCCCAGGCACAGATCAAAGGAGTGAGATAGTTATTCTGTTCCAAGCAGGGAAGATTTCAAAACCTTTGAAGTTGGTTTTTAACGGCAATCTCTAGTTGCCAAACTCAGAACTGACAACCACGTGATACCACAGTGGTTGAAGTCTGAGATGTCATCTGACAGCCTCTCCAGAAATTACTTTGAAGAGTATCAGCATTCACTGATGTTGCTGATAAAGTAAAGCTCACATGAGCACAACTGAGATGGCAGGCCTGCAAAAGGACGTTTTCTAAGGGCAGTGTAAACCCTTACACTGCACCTAAAGAAATAGAAAGTCCTCTTTGTTGTTATCACAACTACTAAATCAAAGTTCTAGGAGTTTTCCTTTGTTCATTGACTTCAGGCGAGTCAACGCGAACAACTCTTAGCCTGTTCTGCAAGGGTTGCAGGGGCTTAATAATTAATTAATAAGCAGCTCAAATCAGATGTCAGTGGATATGTCTACAGTGGAAAAATAATGTGGCTCAGAAACAGCAGTCTATAAAGTGAAATAGTTGATGCAGTAGACACTTTTTTTTTTTTCTGAGGATTTCTCTTAGACTAGCCAAGGACTGAATGCAGCTGGGATGTGTCTTCTGGCTTATTTTTTTTCTGAAACCATCGAAGCTCATGTGCTCTGGTATTGCTGTAGAATGTGAACCAAAGCAACTGAGCTGAACTGAAGAGTGAGATAACTGCACCAAACAAACCCCAAAAGAAATCAGTCTTCTGGCAAGCCCAGTGTAGAAATATATCTGATCCTATTTTCTACAGCAAGAGAAGGCATCTACCTGGCTCATGCTGGCTAACTTGTAATCAAACTACAGGTAAATGAAAGGAACCAAACATTTGGATACTTACTGGCTTTAAGGATTCTGTGGACTCTGGCATCATAGTAATCAAACACATTCTTCTGTGTACTGTTGAGGATCTCCACCTCGTAAACTGCAAGAGATAACAACTGCATGAGGTTGGATGGAACCATTAAATTGCTTCCAAAAACTGAAAAATAGGTATGTGTTTACGACGTGTCTATGATCTTGTTTCATGGTTGCCAGTCTGCCAGAGGCTGGTGTTCCATCTATTTCCAAATCATAGGGGTGTGAAAGACAACAGGATAGTAATCCTGTGTTCCTAATATGATTTTATGAAGTCAGGTATTAATCAACAATTTTTAGATTTGTGTTCCTTTTGTGTACTATTTATTTAAGAGAAGATCCCATACGATTGGGTTTTTATTTTTTTTCCTGCCCGTCTATTATCATCTAACTTACAAAAGCTTCTGAACCAGTTTTCCTTCATTAGTTCTTCCAACTTTCCACCGAAAGAAGAGACCAGAAAGGTAAATTAACAAAGGAGAAAATACTCATCTACCTCCACAGAAGGAGCTGCTGAGCTATGGCACGCCTTGCAGAGTCTACTCTTTGTCTCCATCCTGTACGTTAGGGATGTAGGGGATGGTGGTTCTTGCACCACAGGTCTTTTCTATACCATGCAATATAATGTCCATGCTTCCTTCCCCCAGCATCCCACTGCATCCTTCTGAGGCCTTTGTTTCTTCCTTTCACCCCCCTGGTGACTGCAACAGCACACCAGCTTCATTCCATCTCCTCAGCCTCTAGGGCAGGTGCAGAAACTCTACTCATTTCAGGAGAGGTCTGGGCATATAAAACTACAAATATGTCCTTGTTGAAAAGAACTATGTTTAAACTAACTCAGCAGTTGTCTTTCGTGCCTTACCATAATCCACAATAGGGTCATAGCAGACAAAATTCAAGCGTGAATTTTGTGTTACGGTTTTGCTGAAAGTTGATCTTTGTTTTGGGCAGGGTCCTAGAGTGAAGAAAATAAATGATACATCTGTCTCTGTAGGCATGGATATTGAGATAGACTTCACACATTTTCATTCTCTCAAGGTTATAACAGATAATAAAATAAAATGGCAGAACAACTTTCTTAAAAGGGTGGTGGAGGGTTTTTGCATGCACATGCACATGCATAGATATGCCACATTCAATTATCAAGTTGATCTTGGATGTCTTAAAAAAAACTTTTCAGTTTGGTGCTGGACATAGTAGGGGATGCTTTGTGTCATCTATTATGCATTAGGATTATTGTAATGGTCCTTCCTGGAATTAACCATTCCCACGTTAATGGTACACAGAAGTAACTATCTTCTTTTAGACTGGCCTATCTATTCAATCCTTACCTTCCGCACACTGGCAAACATTGGCATGGCACACCTTTGAGAGCATGGCACTGTGCTTGGGAGCGCTGTAGAATATGCTGCACTTTCTCTCTGTGGAGAGGAAACAAAATGGCTTGTCTCAGAGAGCTGAAGTGGAAAAGCCTATGCAGTAGAAACTACTTTTGCACCCCAGCTTTGCCCTGGTCCAGAGAAATCAGAGCACTAAGGGGTTAGATGCACATCAGCAGCCCAGAAAGACCTATAGCCTAGGCACCTAGAGTACAGACATCACCTGGCTTTCAGCTGGGCAGCAACCTAGGTTGTTGCTCCTGTTTTGTTTGGTTTGGTTTTTTTATTTTTTTTGGGGGGGGGAGGGGGAGGTTGGTTTTTTGTGTTCATGTTTTTATTTTTTTTTTCCTTTCTGTTTGGTGGGGCTTTTTAAAGATGTACTCTTCCACTCCTTTTTTTACTCTCAAAAGTGTCCATCTTAAAAGCATCTTTAGATCATATTGCTACCATGAGCAGTGCACTGTTTCAGAAATAGGAACTAGGATCACCAGTAGTGGTTTATATCTAGCATAAACTGTCTTGAATCCCTCAGCTTTGGGCAAAGTAGAGATTTGACTTAAAATTCAAATATTGTCTACACAGTTCTGGCAAACATGGATGACTTACATTTAAACTTCTTTGAATGGGGAGTTAGGCTGATTCCCCCAGCAAGTACAGTAGATAAGCCAAATCTTTAAATTTGCCTAGATTAGACGTGTAGAAAGCCTAACTGAAAAGATGAGTGCAACAAGCTTAAAAGCACGGTGAGAAACAGGAACTCAGGAAACCTGATTTAAAAATCTGAGTGTAAACGTTTATATTTTCAGACCATTTGCAATAGTGGACCCTTCCTGAGAGAATCTCCATTTAGATGACCTTAAGCCATGATAGCATTCAAGCCACGTAATTTTTAACATTTGGCAAAATCATGAGGTTTCACACACTGCATCAAAACCACCTTTCTTTAGACTGGAGATTGTTCTTGAGGGTCTCTCTTTCAATGAATTAAGTATTATTTTTCTGTGACCTTACCAGGGTTGTAAAAATCATAAAGGATGGCATTTGCTGGCTGAACCAAGCCCATAGGATTGATTTGATTTGCCCCAAATGATATACAATCTGGTTCTGGTCCACTTGTGATCTGGAGGAAAAAGGAACAGTTATGATGAGTAAACTAATCCTTTCTCCCTAGTTAGTTCCTTGTTCATTTGTGCCTGTACTAGCTGTTGAGTGCTTGTTTCTGGTGGTGTAAGTGAATTAACCCTCATAGCTGCAGACTCAGCTTGAAGAAAGCATTTCTTTCCATGATTTTACTGGGATATTTTGAGGATAAGCTAAACCTAGTAAAGATAGGTAGTGCAGATCTTCTCTGCCTGAAACTGTCTGATCTGGACTCACATCATCACTACTTTGTGGTTTAGTTGTCATCTTTTGCCTAAAGCCACCCTGCACAGGAGTATTGGGTGTATTACATGTTTACAGTCTATATCCGTGACCACCAATATATATGTTTTCCTTAGCAAAATTTGATAAGGTCAGGGACAGCTTTTGACCTATGTTAAATATACAAATTATCTAGGACAGTCACAGCAGCAGTAGCATTTACATTTTTTCATTTGTCTATCGTCTTATATTTTAAAAAACACTACAGAGATCCCCTTGATTTAGCTATGGAAGTGAAGCAACTCAAGTGGGTGGAGTATTTATCCAAAAGATGGGGGAATATACACAGAAAACATGGGGGTTGATGTTTACATTTGTTTGTTGTTATATGAATCTCAATACAGAAATACTGAACTTCACACACAAAGTGTCCACATGGAGTTTACAGGACACTAGTTAAAATTTTGTTAATCTTTCATGAAATGCATCTCCTCTTGCTAGAGACGATTTATCTTTTTTTTTTTTTTTGGACAGAGAGGAGGAGTGGGCAAAGCCCAAATATCAAACACAGACTTAATTCCTGTTACAGAAAGGCAGAAGATGAAGGTGCATGTTTCTTTTCTTCCCCTCCTCATCCCTCTCTCAACTGAGCTGTTCAATAATAATATATGACAAAAATTACATGAAGGTAAGAGCGTGAAAATAAAGACTAGGTTTAAAAAGAAGTCCATATGTGCTATCCGAAATGGAAGAGATTAGAAAATTGTTGGATTTGCTTACCTCACCGAAGTAGAGCAATACCTTTCCTTCTTTGTACTCGTAGTGCTGAATGTACTGGTCTGAAGATGTCACCAACTGCAAGAAAACAAACAAGCAAAAAAATCAGAACAAAAACACAGCATAGGAGGAACACCTTTGCTACCACCCTCTATATTCTGGATTGCTTTCCTCAGCTGTTTATTTTCCCCTCTTTCTTCTTCCCTGTAGAAGACAGTCCCTGAACGCACGAACCTGGGCAAACTTTCCCCAGCCGAGCTGGCTTCAGAACCCAGAATTACATAGCTACCTTTGCAGAGTGCTGTGCCCCATCTCACTGTCACTGTGACCTGCCAGCAACCACCTCTAAAAGATTTGCTTGACTTGACCCCTGCAAGCACAGGACACACTGTCTTGGCATGTGGTGGGACTAAAATGCCAGTGGAGACAGCAATATATGTTAAGCACAGGCACATATTTAAGTGCCCTGCTGAGCCTTGCCCTAATATCTGTTACAAGGAACTGAGAAGACTAAACTGTGTTTGACATAAGCTTTTAATTTATTGTATATATTCTGTGAATATTTTATCAGAATAAGAATAATGAAAAATTATCCAAAAATATGTTTTCCCTTCTTTATTCTGTGGACTTTGGAAAGATTTTGAAAGACAAATTTTCTGTAGAAAAGGCTATAAAATTTGTCATAGGAAAATGTGTTTCTAACCTGTTCAAGATCCTTTGTTTCTGGCTCTAAGCCACTCAGCAGAGACAGATCAACCAGGGACATCTTTGGTGCCTTCGAACCTGTGGACCTTTATAAGGGAGACTGTCAGTGGTGAACATCTGCACTGAGCAGCCAGCTTGCTTTGATGAGTTTGTCTCTTCAGGCTTGCTAGTGGTGAAACAAAACATTCTGCTCCATTTAACTTTTGTAAGTGGGTTTTAATTTGAAAATCAGTTGCCTACTTCTTTAAGAGTCGCTAGGCAAAACTAGTCCTCTAAACTAGACAAATGGCCATCTGAAACCCAGGTGTCTCACCCGAGCTTATCATCTAGGCTTTCTTTACTGCTGAGAGACAGAAACAATCACCTTCAAAGGACAGTTTCATCACACCATAACAGCACTCTTGAAGATAGAGAAGGTAAACAGCACTGAAAAAATATCTGGTCTCTATTACCTAGAAGGCAGTGATAGGAAATGAGTTTATCCAAATTCTACATGGACAAAGTCAAATTTACATCAGCCTTGCTTTACAAGGCAAAATTCCTCATCGCTCTAACTATCCATTAGGTACATATATCAGACTTCTGATCTTTTCCACTCTCACCTTCTCAGAAATCATTGTCATTGCTGGAAAATGAAGATGTGCACTCACAAAAGATGCTTTGCCATAGATATTCTACATACACTTAGAAGGACTTCAGAAACTTTTATTTTGGCACTCTTCTTTCTCCGTAAGGGAAGACATATGGTTTTTCAGCTGTGTTGTAACTCCAACAAATGGAGCTTCACATTATTGCTTAAGCCTCACTTTAACACTCAGCAAGGTCCCTCAGAACATTGGATCTGATAGCTGATAAACGTTACAGAACCATTAATGGGGAAAAATGGTGCTTCAGCCAGCACACAATTCACTGAACAGATGTTTAACTAGTGAAAACTAGGAATTAGGGTAACTCCACTCTTCCCCTGCCATTGTTCATGCTGCTGTCTGGAAAGGGGGATAAAAATCACTGCCTCCGAGGCTTTGTCAAAAGTCAGTGAAAAAACTAAATTCCTCGTTCTTGGTGGTGCTGATAACACCAAGGTCACGGATTCGACCCCTGTTCAGTCCCCATGTGTTGCCTGATCTAGTTGAGAGGTGTCCCTGCCCATGACAGAGAAGTTGGATTAAATGATCTCTAAGGTCCTTTCCAGCCTAGGCCAGTCTACGATTCTATGATTCTATGAGTGGGGAACAAAACCTGCTTCTGCTACCCTGCACATCTCTTGAAGGAGAGCTCAGGACAGTCACCACTTTGTGCTTCTATGACCTGTAATAGACTGTGAAAGGGAGTAAAGCAGATGTTTTAGTGTTATTCTGCACAGAAGGATTTTTTTCTCACTAGCTTTGCCCTTGCCTACCTCTTGATTGCCACACAGAATATCTCTTCTGCCTCCCCTCCTCCTCCAAACAGCACTAGATATATTTTCCTTTTTTAGGAGGTCAAAGTGTGACCACAAAGGAAGTAAGAGCATCTCTCCAGAAAGCAAAGAAACTCTGTAAATGTGTTATTACTGTATTCCAGTTGTATCTATTTTATTGAAGAAAAGACTTCTTTCAAATGATGAGCCAGTCAGGCACTTCAGAGTCTCCTCAGAGTCTGATGGGGCAGAATTTGCAATGGATATCTGAGATCTACGTAGACCATCTAAACCTAATACATTGTGTGGAAACTTTTCCTCCTTCCATGGGACAGAGAAGCAGACTCATCATGTATAGCATAGTCATGGAAGATCACCAGGTTTGATCCTGAGTTTGTGGGTATGAGGAGGGTGACCAAGAAGAACTACAAACAAAAATTAATGCATTTCCTAATGAAGAGCTTATCTTGCAGACCTACCTGACACAGACTTTGTACTGCAGTGATTCTGCTTTACTGGGAGACGTCACTTCCCTTTTCCTTCTGGTGTGGATATCAAACCACTCTATTTCAGACAGTGGCTCAGATGTACTCTTTGCAGCAATCAAGGCCTCATAATCATAGTCTTCATCAGAGTATGCAACTTCTGGAAGTAGCAGACACGATCAGCCATTCACAAATGTAACTAAGGACAAGGTAATTTGGCTTATTTATGTATAATTAAACTGTTTAAAAATATTAGAAGCTGAATAAAATGTTAGGCAGATTTCAGTAGCATCTCTCCTTGTTTTATTCATTCCCAATTTCCAAAGCTGGAAAGCCATGAAGTTTAGCCTGGAGAAAATGAGGCTCAGGGAAGACCTTAGCACTATAACTACCTGAAAGCAGGTTGTGGCAAGGTAGGGATCGATCTCTTCTCACATGTAACAAGCCACAGGACAAGAGGACATGGCCTCAAGTTGTGCCAGGAGAGGTTTAGATTGGATATTAGGAAAAAATTCTTCACTGAAAGGACTGTTAAGCACTGGAAGAGGCTGCCCAGGGAAGTGTTGGAGTCACCACCCCTGGAGGTATTCAAAAGACACGCGGATGTGGTGCTTAGGGACATGGTTCAGTGGTGGACCTAGTATCCCTAGGTTAACGGATGGACTTGATGATCTTAAAGGTCTTTTCCAGCCAAAATTATTCTATGATTCTATTATTTTAAATATCACTAGCAGCTGGCCAAACACATCACTTTTGAGACTCAATCACTCCCCTTTTCACTCACCAGAGTACGTAACGCTCCCTTCCATCTCCACCGTCAAAATCAAATCATTACATGTGTCCTTCACCTCAGAAGACCGGTACACTTTTAATATCTAAGATGAATGCACAAACGCAAAACACTGAAAATATCATTTAACTGACCAGTGATTCACTCATCTAGGACTCCAGAAAATGGTGAAGGGACATGGGAGTGTGGAGAGAAACACTGGTCTCCCAGAGGCACAGACTAGTCACAGAGGACTGTCATTGAGTATAAGCAGAGGAGGTCGCATGCGCAAAGCACAAACGTTGTGGGACCTTGGAGATAACTCTCCATTCCTAGCCACAAAGGGGTTTTTTAAACTCCAGATGCCTCTATCAGCATTGTCATTCCACAAACTTAATGAAGTTAAAACCCGGAAATATTGACTACATATCAGGGCAGTTTGTAGGCCCCAAATTTTAGAATTTGGAGGTGGGAACACAAAGGATGAAGCCATAGCAAGTAATCTTTCACTGTTTTCAAAAAGGTTTTAAAAGAAATCCAGTCAGACTTTGAATTTCTGATTTACAGCTTACACTCATTGTCCCATTTCCTCTGCCGTTTACAGACACTTGAAGTTTTCTCCCAAGTTCAAACTGCAAACCAAGAGAAAAAAGAAAAGGAGATTTAGTCTGCGTTCAGCACATTGTTCTCCTGTGAGTTTGATGGTCTTCTATGCCTTTACCCCTCAGAAATAGGGTAGGGAAAACCTTTAGCTACAGAAGGAGTTATGAGACCTCATTATTCTGTGACACCTCAAGTCTGATAAGATTTTTAATGTTCTGGGTTGGTGCATCTTACTCTGCCATTCTGTGGCCCAGGAGCCACTTTTTCCTAACTTCACTCTCTCCTCTGTAGCATGGTGTTGACATTTTCACAGGTCCCAACACATTGATTATCAAAACATTCCTCTTCTTCCTCATTCCCTAGCAATATTTGGGCTCCCAGATGCCCAGCATTGTTGAAGGAGATTCATGTCACCAAAGTCCTTGAAGAGGCAGGAAAAGGCTTTTAAAGTGTGCTGCTAAGCATCTGTTCCATTTTTTCTTAAAAAAGATTTAGTTGGTTTACAGATTAAATTATTAAAAATATTATAAACCAACTACATCATAATTGCCTAACAGGAGAAAACTTAGGCCATATGATCCCATGTTTCTCCTGTTAGAAGAAAAAAGCTTGAAACAATAGATGGTTGTGTACCTCCAGCTCCTTCTGAATTGCTTCTTTGGTATCAGTCAGAACAACACTATAGCCTCTTTGTCTTCCAGGTGTTACCAGTTTTACAGTCAGGTTGGTAGGAGCGGTGTTCAGTGTCTGGATGTTGTATGCTGACAGAGCCTCTAGGGCCACCACTGTGTCCTAGATGAGAAGGAAATGCAAAACCCAACAAATATACCAGGTTATTTCAGCAATGTGTAAGATAGCGTAATCAGTCATCTGGAACTACTCTTCAGTTTTGTGGGGGTTTTGCTGCTTTGAATTTATTCTGTATTCGTCTGTTCCTACCTGCACAGACTACTCATTTCGTTTCCCAGCTGCTTCTTTTAACATTAAAATCCTGAAACCACTGTAGTTATGACCTTCAATTATCCTAAGTCTTCATAAAGATGAAGAACTTTTGCTGGTTTATAACCATGTTATTTTGGACCATTTATTTTTTTTATGAGCCATAATCTTTAGTGCTTCATAAACAAAAGCAGTTCAGGATTAACTATTACAATACTTTCAGATCTAATTGAACAAGTCTTACGGGGTTTCTGTTTTCTCCCCTGCCCCTGAAATTCCACCTGGAGTAGTGGTCAGGCACCTGTGTAGAGCAGTAACCTCCACCATAGTTCCTTCTTTCTGTCAGCCACGTAGCAATTGGCCTTGCGTAGTCCATGTCTTTCAGAAGTAAAGTTTGAAGCAACGCGTAGGCAGTGGTTTCTACCGAGATTGCATCCTTGCCGTTTCCCCAGTAGCGATGCTGCTTTGCTGCAAGAATAATTCAATCTTGAATACACTCAGTAAAGACATTTACCAAGAATTACCATTGTTACCATTGTTCTACATAATAGATAAGTTCGTGCCCTAGCACTGAGGAACAACAAGACACAGATGCTGTCATAAGGGCAACAAATCAGTTGGGAAACAGAAATGATGGGAGAGAAAAACCACAATTTTAAGTTTTGACTTATCCAACCATCACAGTCTAATGATCCCATTGCATAGTGATGTCCATCTCATGGAGCGGTAGCATTGTGCCTTATGAATCTGAGAGATAATAGTGACCAGGAATCCAGTCTTGATTAAGAAAAATCATATTCCCTATGTTTAAAATATGACTATTAAACTATAATGGATTTACCAAACAAATTGAGACAAATTAATAACATGACAGTGCAGCCATGCACATATAACTCAGCATTGACCACAGTCACACACTGGTGAGTAGGAAGAGGTGATATCCTTGTGGAACTGGAAAAAACCCTCAGAACTGGCAGGAGGCTTTGAAAGCAGATGGGCTGGAAAAGATACCTTCCCTCTTGATCAGAAAGCCAGTCTGGATTACTCTGATATGTAACTGTTCATTCCTATTTAATCACTAAAAATTTCTTCTTTCTCAACTGGTTCGGACTTCTTTTTTTTTTAAATGCACTTTAGGGTCATGGAAACATTGACAGGCAGCAAAGGAAGCAGAAAAGACAAATGACTATTTACCACTTTTTTGTTCCATTTCCAGTATCAGATGAGATCATGATCCAAACTTCACAATGCTAAGTTGTTATAGTAGTATTAATTTTACAAATTACATATTACAACTTCAGCATTCAAGCATTCAGTTACACAATTTAAATAATTCAGTATATTATGTATACTTAATAGTTCTATAAAATTACACAGTCTTCATTTACTTAACTTTTTTTGGTCCATATAAGAGTGCTCAAAATGCTTTAATTAGGAGAAGTGTTTTCTAACTGAATGTTTAAGAATGGTTACCAGTACCTTCATCAAAAACAGAACAGGCCCTTATTTTTTCATTTGCAAACCGGGCTTCTTCACTATTAGGCTGCACCAGTGTCAGAGCATATGCAGTGATGGCTGTAGAATAGCAGTCTTTATTTCTCGAAAGTTCATTTTTCATGTAAGCCACTGCTCTTCTAATCACTTGTACCTGTGAAAACAGAATGGATCCATTTGAAAAGGTCATTTAGACTCACTAACTGTTAGTGCTGGTGAGAGTACAAGGAAATTAGAATACTTCACTAGTAGTAATTTTTGAGACAATAGTTTTTGCTTTGTGATTAACTGTTGGAGTGTGTAGCTTGGAGAACCTTGTACCTTAGGCCATGTCATCTTTTCCTGTCCACCGCAGATATAAACAGACTTTTACCTCCTCATTAGCAGAACTTTGAGATAGTAAGTAAGGTAGACATGCCATTGTGCAGTAATGCTCAGAATTAAAGGTAAGCAGTCAGGCTTCTTACCACATCAGGTGCCTCAAAGGCCTGCAGAGTCTGTTGTAATGCTATAGTTACAAAGGCTGTCAAGGCCAAATCCTCCTCTGCTGACCCAATGCCACCCTGAAAGATGAAATACAAAAAGGAAAAATTAAATGTACATGTGTGGTTAAATTTAGAATATCACTTTTCATGAAGGCAAGCACCTTCTTGTCAAACTATCTGACCACAGACCACGTAGTTTAATTTTGTGCAATGACTTGTGTCTACCCAAAGTATATCTTCTAAAATGGCAGACAGTTTGTGCTTAACAGTGTTAAGACATTAGGAACCCACTGTGTCCTTCAGCTGTTAATCACATATTTAAATTTTTAACTTAGAGTTAAAAAACTTCAATTTCTCATTGCAATATTCAAGCACTAGTAGCTGAGCTTTTCTCCATTTCTCTGCTAGTCCTTATAGACTAAAGAGCCTTCTAACACACACAACTTTCTACAATAAAGGCGTTTATACATCATTATTAGATCATTTCTTACTCCTTTACTTGGTAAACTAAACACAGTGCCCTCATTAGCTTTTTTCCCCTGGAGATCTGCGTTTTCATTCCTCGTCAACATTGTGATTCTTTTGCTCATACTCTCCTTTAACAACAACTTTAGGATCTTCAACAGCCTTCAACAATGTTCTTCTTTACTCAGTCCCAAATGTTTATCCTTAGGAGAATGATAGTTCATTAGGTTGTAAAGACTTAAGTTTCTGTAAAAAATTATCATGCACAACTGCTGAAGGAAATGCAAATTAGAAGACAAACATCTCAGCATGAATACAGGCCAAAAAAACCCTTTGAGCTGATCTTGAGCTGTTGTTTTTTTTCTTTTACCCCCTCCCTCCCAATAGTGTTACATCAGCTGTGGAACTGGCTTTGAGGGTGAAACCTTCACAAACGGCTTGACAAAATCGTCAATAAAATGAATACATTTTTTCAAGTAAAATCACTACAAAGGGATCTGCATTTTCAATGAATTTTGTGTGATGCACGTGGTTTTCATATTCCAGGTGTATGGACAGTGATACAATTTTGTATTTCTGGACACTTATAGTGGATGTGTAGATCAACACCTACAATTGGAAATTCTGATTAGGTATTAAGATTCATTTTTTTTCCTCACCCTTAGATGTACTCAAGAATCAGCTGGACATGGCTCTGTGCAACCTGATCTATACAGATCTGTTCTGATCAGGGGTTAGACTAGATGACATGTGAAGATCCCTTCAAAACTAAATTACCATCCTGTGGCTTTATTGCTTTTGGCAATAAAAAGCGTAAATTTTCACCAAGTACAAGAATCTCAGAATTAATTTTTTTAGTGGTCTACAGGCATAGGTCAGCTGCCAAATTATCTAAGGCTTGATCAAAATACAAAGGTGGTGAAGTGCTAGCTATGCATCTCTGCCATAACAGACCTTTTAACAAATTTATTTTACATTACAGATTTTGTACTTCTCGTATTACAGATTTCTTTTCTTTAGATGCATTTCTTGTTACTCAGCAGTTCACAACGCTCCTTTCAATCCCTAGCAGCTCTAAATGTGTTACAGATACTTCTAAATATGGATGACCTACCTGCATAGTCCTGTCAAATACTGGGTGATGGTCATGGAATGAAGCATCTGTTTGCTGCTGATTAATCAAGTAGGAAATCGAGTTCTGTATGTGTCTGTCTTGGATACTAATGTATCCTCTGCACCTTGTGAGTACTTTAACAATGAATGCAGTTAACCTGCAGAAAAGAAAATTTTCCAGACTCGTGCTGACATGTATTTACAGAAGAGTATATTGACAGGAAAAAAATACACTAATTTTGTACATAGACTCATATTCAATATGGAACTTACTGAGTTATCATTCAACATCATATGAGCATTTCTGGTCTGTGGCAAATGCAAAACAATCAGTGGTTTGGTATAAATCTCCTTAAGCAAGGAGATGCTGTCATGCTTAGAGACTTACATGGCTGACTATCCATGACAAAAGTATATATGCAACACTAGGCCCACCAGATTTTGAAAATCCATCCCCCTAGAAAAATTTTTGATGCGTGAAATAATAGAGATATTTTTTTGGGAAAAAAAAAAGATTGAAAAATATACTTACCATACACTACTGGGGGTTCTTTTGAATGCTCCATAGGAGCCATCCTCTTTCTGAAACTCAAGCAGCCTAGTATAACCTGCATGAAGAGGATAGCATGTGACTGTTCAGAGAATACATATATTCCCTGGGCAGTTTCATACATCACTTGTATTAACATGGACATGTATTGACTAATGGAAGCGTACATGGAGGTGTTAACTGCTACATCAAGGAGAAAATGACTGGATCAGCAGGCCTTTGACACAGAAAAAGCACTAGGCCTAGAAGATGCTCTTTCTGGTATGACTTAATTGAGCCATGAGAATAATCTGAAAACTGCAGGTATCTATAGTTACTATGGATTTTCTGTGTAGTGAATCTTGGGAAACTTATTTCCCATTACTGACAACTTTTCAATCTGTTGACCTTACGGTGTATGGAGTCAAAAAATTACACATAACATCACCTCTTGGGATAGACATAGGCTTAGACATCATGAGTTGTGGCCTCTGATCTTAGCTGTTATTGTCTTGACAAAGTTTGTGTCATAGCCATGCAATTCATTTTCTACCCCATTGAACTTTAGTAAGAATCCATAAAAACATAATACGGGGACTAAATACTGCTGATAATACCAAATACTCCTCAGCAGGATCTCACGTCACTTTAGGCAATCTTAGATAAATAGGCAAAGACCTCAACTCAGCAACTGTTAGCATGTTTTTAATCTCTATTTATACCCTTATTTTTCACCCATGGAATGTGTGTCATGTTGTCTGAAGGTAATGAAGGCAAGTGCATTGTGTTGCTTTATGCCCTGTGCACAGCACCACAGTTAGAAAGACCAGCTGCACCCACCACAGGGCTGCCACATGTTAATGCCTGTGAGCTGGAACACCTCCACTTCCACATGCTGTGATCTGCCTTTCCTGTACGTTTAACATCAGCTTTTGATCACGTCTTGGAGTGGGCTTTTTCAGGAAGCAGCCTTGCAGCTGCCCTCTCCCTAAGAAAACTCCCTCCTTGAGTTAGTCTAAGGCTGTTCGAGTCATTCCAGCTCGTGTAATGAATACAAGAGTGTGGAAGAGAAAGTGTCAGTATCACGGTTACCATTGGGAGTTTCCTTAGTGCTACTCCTCTTGCCAAATACAGACATCTCCAGCAGAAATGTTTACATCCCAGCTGGCCATCCTAAGCATGGTCTATGATCTATCAGGGCAAGTAAGCATTTTTAGGTCATGATGCAGTTTGATTTATTTTGCACATCTACATTAGGAGGAAACCATCAAGTTTCCTTTACTGTCCACTCACTCTGAAGAGCTGGTGTTGATCAGTTCAGATTTTGCTTTCTGCTGCTAAACTAGGTCAGAGAAGGGGTGGACTACGAATGCCAATAGTGCACAATGTCAGATGTAGGCAATTAGTCACGTAAGTCCTCCTTGCCAGTTCTGTTTTTCATGTCTGCAGATTGCCGAAGGCATTGCTCTGTGGCTGCCTTAAGACTACACTCCCTCCTTTGGCAAGCAGCAATGGTTAGGATTCAACATAAAAGGATAATGAAGACCATGTCAGTTGGTTTCTGTTGGTTTGGTTATTTTTTTTTTGTTTTTGTTTTTGCCTGCGTACCTCTTTCAATCATATTAATGGCTTCCACCTTCCGTTCAGGATTAAAGTTTACCCACTGTTCACTGGCATCCAAGTACTCAATAGCATAGACTGCAGGGGCCATTTTCACCATAGTTTGCTCTGCACAGCCTTTGGGCAGCCGAATAAGTTTTTCAACTCCAGTGAGGCTAAGGCAATTTTCAACAGACTCGTCCATCATATTTCCTGTTGTAAAAACCAAACGATGTAGTACATGTTGTATTTAATCTGGCTGGTGTAACAAAAAGACATGTAATACTAACTCCAGGTTGACACTCCAGCATGGCCTGATACTTCTCATTATTAAAAGCTGTTTTCAGCTACTTAAGACTTTGTAAAGCTGGAGGAGAACACAGCTGAGGTACCAGGCCCTGGGAAAGGTGGAGAAAGGAGGCTCAGGCAGTGCAGGATCATGGAGGAGAAAAAGTCCTGAGGCTACTGGTGGCAGGGAAGCAAGGAAAGAGGAAAGACTGGTGCTTCAGGTTGAGGCCGGAGAAGTCTTGTCAAACCAGATCTGATCCTCCCACAGAGGGGAGAAGGATCATGTCTTAATTATGCCAAACATTTTGTACAGAGGTGCTTTTTCTTTTTCTTTTTCCCTCCTTGTAACTCTTATTTGATGAATTCAAACATCCCCCTATTTTAGAACAGGGATTTAAAATTGAAGTCTTTGTGTCAAGAATGCATTACTTTACATTTTCTACTCAAAAAAGTTTTTATCATTAACAAGAGTACTTGTATTTAAAATATATATGCATGAGTATATATATCTATATATATGTATGCTACAATTTGATTAAATGAGTATGTGATTTTACATATCTTGTAAATTTCCAGAACTTCTACATCAGAGTCTAGCAATATTATTCCTGAAGACTGAAGCAGATTTCCACAGATCCACATGCAATGCATTAGAGAAAGTGAACTCTTGCTTTCACCTCCAGCCTTCCCATAAAGTTAGCCTGGGCACCGTGAGGCAGGATGGACTGCATAAAGCAATTATATTTCCAATACAAGTGAGAAGGAGTAATTAGAAAGAGGAAAGGTACTGTATCAGCCTTGAGTGTGTTTTGTTTTATGACCTGGGCTTATAACACAGACCATTTGAGTCATAGCAGGAAAAGTAGGAGGGAATGGAGGCCCAGTGTTCAGGGATGAGCAGCACAAAAGGTCATGTCTCTTGTCGCTTGTGGAGAAGTTAGTGGCAAAAGATTACATTTACCTTTCAGGCTAACCAACACATGACTATCAGAACCTGGTATCATATCAGGTGGTTTGTTCAGGTATAGTGTCTGGGACTTTACTGTAAAAGAATAATAAATAGCGATCTACATCCAGATTCTTTAAACATAAAAAGTAGAGTATAATTTAAGAACATGATTTCATTAAACATCTCACAGTTGTTTGCAATTATAAAACAAATATTAACAGAAATATTAATAAACATTTATGAATAGAACTATACCTATCTTTCTTAAACTGGTTTAATTTTCAATTATTAGCAATATTTTTGTCTTAAAATGAGACTTGGTTTTAATACCTCTTAAGACCCATTTGTAAATTAAATAGATGCCTACTTTGTATTTAAATAATGCTACCTTGAAACACAGAAGTAATACAAGTCAATTCCAATTATTTAAAATTATATGATTTTTGTTTCCTGAGTTTTTTGCTACATATTGTATACAGAGATTTGTTCCAAATTCTGGTCAACCAAAGCAACATTTGCACATTAAAAAGTATTTCACTGCACCTGTCAGATATATGAGGTGCTGGAGCATATCCAAGGGAGAGTAAGAAAACTGGTAAAGTATCTCAAGAAAAGGTCTTATGAGGAGCAGCTGAGTGAACTGGGGTTGTTTAGCCTGGAGAAGAGGAGGCTGAGGGGAGATCTTATCACTCTCTACAACTACCCAAGGGAGATTGTAGACAGACAGGGGTTAGGCTCTTCTCCCATGTGATAGGACAAAGGGAAATGGGCTCAAGTTGTGCCAGGCGAGGTTTAGATTGGATATTAGGAAAAATTGTCAGCATTGGAAGAATATGCCCAGGGAAGTGGTTGAGTCACCATCCCTGGAGGTATTTAAAAAATGAGTAGATGTGATGCTTAGGGACGTGGTTCAGTGGTGGGCAGTACTAGGTTAAGGGTTGAACTTGATGATCTTAAAGCACTTTTCTAACCTAAACAACTCTATGATTCTACTATTCACACCAGAATTTACACTCCCTGTTCCCACTCCAAGCCTCATTTTTATCTAATGTTTTTTGTGTAACTTACAGTCACTGTTAATGCAAATGGTCTGTTCTTCTCTCTGTAAAACACCTTCACCCTGTACAATTAAGGAAAGAAATGTCAAAACTTTTGCAAGCACTCAGACCTGAAATTAAGCTGCATAAAAGCCATAAACCCTACCCTTGCACGGGTCCAGCAGGTGGCAGAAATAAATTGTTTTGGAGTGAGATTTCTCTCCAGGTAAAACTGAAGCTTGAGATCAGAATTTCAGTGTCGCAACTGAAATGCCGATAAACTCCACTGAGCTTTTTAATTATTATTGACATATTTATCTGACTGAAATTCCTTTAATGAAAATGAACCCACAGAAATTCATCTTCAAAGTTTATTTTCATCTTTGCAAATGGTGTGAGTCAAGTTCAAAGCTGGACTAAATTTATGCATCACGTTTCTCTGATTTCACTCCTTCCCCAAGAACTCCACACAACATGGATGTTATATTTGAGGAGAAACACGTATCTGTGAAGTGCCTGCCCTCAACTAGTTGTACGTACCACAACATTGAGGTTCTTCTTAATGCTGTCACTGTACCCCGAAACCGTGTCGAAAGCAGTAATAGTAATTGGAATTTCTCCCAGAGTCAGAGGGACAACTGAGAAGTAGGCTGGAGTTGCAGAGTTGCCCTTAGCCACCAGCGTCAGCCGCACGGCCTTCCCCGTCTCCTCTGCTGTGCACAGCCCCTTCACCGCTTCCATCGCCACCGTCACCTGCAGGGACAAGGCAATGCCTGTGATCAGGCCTAGAGCATCACCGCACAGGAAAATTGCTCCAGCTCCATCACATCTCTACAACAGGAGACGAGCTTTTGTTCAAAAAGGATTGAGCAAGGCAGATGTTTTGGGAGACAGAAAGTGTTTTTCACTTCACACCCCTCAAGTTACTGTCCTTCAGATATAAAATGAGGAACCTGTTTCCATCAAGAAGTGATCAAATGCTGGCATAGTTCATCCAAAGAGCTTGTGGAGTCTCTCTCCTTGGGGATATTGAATATCTGGCTCAACGAGGCCCTGAACAACCTTCTCTAACTGGACTTGCTCTGAGCAGCAGATTGGACTAGAGACCTCTGGATGCCCTTTTCAACCTAAATTTTTCTGTGACCCTACGGTCTGTTAACATTCATCTACATTGACTAGGGCTGTGAAGGTGTATCAGGTACCATTTCTTCACTACACTGAATTTGCAATATAGTTTCGGCATATCCCTAAACCAGAAGGAAGTGAGGACAATACCATATTGTTATATATCTCAGCTCTACATCATTCAACACAGTTCAGAAGATGCTGGCCAGGCAAAGCTGGTTGAGAGAGGGAAGACATGGAAAAAAGCATCTGCCTGAGAGTGATGGAGATCTTAAGCCTAGTGACAGCTGTGGCTGTGTGCAGAGCTGGACAGGTGTCACATGCAGAAAAAAATGGCTTTGCATTGTATGCATGATGAATTTTGTGACTAACATGCTCATAATTTACCTCTGTATCTTCTGTACCTGTTTTATCCGCAGCTAGGTGTTGCCCAGATTGGCATGCAGCAAAAAAAATAGCTGACTGCTTCAATGAAGGGGGAGAAGACATTACAAAGTCAAATTCCTTGTCTTTGGGTATAGGGTAAATAAAATGTCTTTTATACAGTAAGTTTAATTAGCAAGTAGAACTGGATTCTGACTTTGGGGAGATTTTCAAAACGGGAGTGTGATGTCTGGGCTGTAGAAGGGCAGTGAAAGGTGACTGAGTCGTTTACATTTAATTATGACATAGCATGGCACTTGGTGGTGATACTACCTGGAGATTGTTGGGCAGATAGTTGTAAACCACTGCTTTTATTTCCAGTTGTTCATGTCGTCTCACTGAGTATGGTAATCTCAGAGATACAAAAAAGTTTTTGAAAACTGCAAAGGTGTGGGGGTCAGCAACGCAAAATCCTAGGATGAGAAAAAACAGCATTGAGAATTACGCACCTAAAATCAGCTAATAAAAAGATGTGTCTAATCAACATTCATTGTCTGGGCTCCCTTTAGATCAAGAGCATGAGAAGGAGAAAGGCATATCCAGAAAGCATTTCAACTCACCTGCACTAGAGACCTATCTCAGGGGTAGATGATTTGCTCTCTGGAGTCACTGCCATGATTTTCAACAGGTAAAGTTTGGCAGGAGTGTTTATAGCTGTTATGAGTTAAGATGTGGCCCAGCTTTCCTGCAAAGGCCATGTTTTAAACAGAATGACCTTCCCTCACTTTCTGTAAATAAACTTGGTGCCCATCACTGCACCCCTTGATGAGCGTCCCTTTCTGAAGGGGAGCGGGCAGTACCAGGTGGAACTTTTGTCTATCCTCCATGGTCCTGCTCAACTCCCAGGACCTCCCTGGTGCTCTTCTTTGGCTTTCTAAAGAGCACAGACTTTCATGCTTCTCTGAGATGGCCAGAAATATTAAGATGAAAGCAGTGTTATTACTGCTACCTTTCCTGTGGCTTCCTGGCCATGTGGAAGCTAAAATGAGATGGTTTATATACTGGAAGAAAAAGAGGCAGTTTTGATTGTATAATCCATCCTCCTTCACCCTCTACTTCATGTTGTTCTTATAAATATGTATGTACTTCCTAAACTCTAGTTGGGATTTTATATGCCATGAAAGAGAGGAATAAAGGTTATGATCAAAACATTTTGTGTTTTTCAGTACTGCCACACTCTGTCACCGTAACGTATCTCTGTTTTTAAAAAAAAATATTCTCTATTCATCCGTACAAGAAACCAATACTTATACCCAATACTTATACCTTTTTGGGGAGATATGCTTATTGCCTGAACTTCCCAGGTAGTTATAGAGTCAGGAACGAAGTTTCCTACACTAAGAAATACAAAATGAAATGTATTAGGAAGGATGTATACAATGTAAACATTATCTTTTGCTGAAGTTTGAGTACTGCAAGGGAAAAAGAATATTCCCTGAGTTGTGGAGACAAAGTACTTGTAAATATTCTGAAATTCTCTCTATCAGAGAACACGTAAAGCTGATATTTATATACATTTTACTGTACAGATTTAGATATATTCACCTAGTCAGATAACATAGTACCTATGATTTCCAGGGTTTTTCACTTCTTCAAAATTCCACCACCAGCTCTCAGGAAAGTAACTGCGCAAGTGGACGGAGGTTTCATCAAAAGCTTCTTCATGGCCATCGTAGTCTGTAAAACAAGAGGGGATTTCTGTTCCGAAGTCTGGGCTGCTGGCCTTAAATTGTCTGGCAGGAAGTCAGCTTGTCAGAGGGAAAGCAGCATGAAGTATGCTCTGAATGAAAAGACTGTATCTGGGTTTCACTTCATCCATTAATAAAAAAAAAATAATTAAAAAAGGTGAAAAATAAAAGAAGCAAGGACCAAAGATTCTAACTGAGAAAGATAATTATTCTTTCTAAGTTCAATAACTATACGCTACCAAAAAAGAAAACATTCCACTTTAGTAATGCTTAACAAAGATGTTCCCACCATCCCATATTTATGACAGAGCACATAAGGGAAGTTCTGAGAAAAATGGCAGCAGAAATTACTCTTAGGATGGGGTGATTTTCAACACAAAATTTGGGGGTTTTGGGTAACGTGAGACCTTGTGTGATCAGAGATAGATTTCAGCAAGAAGAAAGTAAGAAAGAGATAAAATTGTCCCTGACTGAAGTAGCCCCTTCTCGGGAGGTAGTGTTTTGGAGGTATTTGGATCTTGTAACAGTAGTATAACCAATAAAATAGTAATGAATTCAAGATTACTCAAAACCCTGAATGCAGAACCACCCCCTACTTTGCTCCACTGTTTGCAGCCTCCCAGAGTGTGGGCAGGGGCCGCCAGCTCCTCCTTAAGGCTCAGACCAGGACACACCACGAGAAGTTATCTGCCTCACTCCCACCTTCCCAGCGTACAGCTGTGAAGATGCAGTGGCGTGTGGGTGCTGCATTATAGCAGGGCTTACTGAAATGTTGATGTGAAAACCGTCTCCCCAGCCCCACTGTATTAAATGCACCATAACCCTCCCTTGCCACCATATGAAGGGCATTTTTCTGCAGACAGTTGCATGTCACTGTGCTTTACATCGTGCCAAGCCCACTCTCATGCTCCTCTTCGCCTCCTTTCTGAGAGCTACAGCTTTTTCACAGCACTCCTGGAAGGCTTTTCTGCATTCAGCGGAGCCAGCCACCCTTGATAGCCTTTTTGCACAAGAAAACCTCATGGGATTTAATTTCATTCCATCTTCACAGCATTTTTGCAGAGCAGTGTTTTGGTATTTGCTGGCTGCAATATAATTAAAGCCCAGAGTTAGTGCTGTGGAAGTAGAAATAAGCATAAAAGTGTTCATCTTTCCTGTCATTCCTTGCAGTTAACGTTAGTTACTTTTGCAACAGTCTACCTTCAGCCAGCATTCATCCTAAAAACAATCCACAAACACAAGTGGAAAGCATGGGCCCTAAGGCATCCTAGTTATTCTATTCCAAGCTTTCTCTTCAAATTCAGACTGTGAATTAAAAATAACTCCTAAGATGCCTTGAATTAGATATCTTGAAAGAAATATTTGTGGTAGTGTTCCCATTCTTGAATAAAGAGACCAATTTCAAAAGTAATGAAGATCTCAGCTTCAAGCTTCAACGTCTTCTGGCAAGGAAATATCAATTTGTGTAATTTCTTTTTTTTATAAAATTTAGATCAAATATTATACTAGCTCTTCTCTTAATTGGAGCGCAAAACATTAAATTTGGCACAACTTCAAAGCAGAATGTCAAGAAAAAGATGTAGGACTTATAAAACATTTTCTGGCCATACTGATAATTTTTAAAAACTTTAAAGCCTTGACTGATTCCATGACATGATATCTAGTGGAAGTATTTCACATTCGGGTTTATAAACTAGTGAATTATTTTCCATTTGCACCCATGCCATTCTGGTTTTAGTTTTTGAGTTGTTTTGATAGATGAGGCATTAGGTCACACAACATAGTAGGCATATTTGTGTTAGGTTGTGCCATCTAATGCAAGAACGGGGACTATGAATATTTTGGTATCCTTTACTATCCCATCCCTTCTTGCCCACCAGATGCTAGCCAGATTCCTTGGCCTTCCCTGCTGTTAAGTCTTTCAGGCCACCCACATGAGCAGACTTACCAATTCCTAACATTTCCTTCTGAAAATCCAAAGATCTCTTCTGCCTTCTGGTAACCCAGCGGCACCTATAGCCTGGGAAAACAGAGCAGAGGAGCTTGGTCATAACACTGTGACAGCAATAGCCTGATCATTCAGGTTGTTTGTGGAAGACCCATCTGAAGACCCATTTCATCCACAGAAGATCCACCATTTGATGAGTTACCTGACAGCACTAGACGACTGCTGTCCACCCCAGCTGAGCTGGACAACAAAGGACCAGTAGCCACGATCTGGGCTATCTGAGCTCCCAGAACCCAGAGGAAGAAGAATCCACAGACAAGAGAAATTTTACATCACAATAAAAAGTTTCTGATATTTAGGCAATCGGCTGTCTCAGATCCATACTGGTCTTTTTCAAATATCTAAAGTAAAAGGCTCACTTACTTTCCCGAAGGTTGGATTTAATTGTGTCTGATAAAAAGGCTAAACCAACATCAGTAAAAACTTGAATACTATCTGCACCACCACCTGCAGAACATCCAAGATCATATGAGTTCATAGCATTAAATACCTGCCAAATAAAAAAGACAAACACAAACCATGAACTGTGCATGCTTGCAAAAGTGTGTTTTGTTCTGTTGGTTTCTTTAAAAAATATATATTAAATCATTTTTTGTAACTTTTGACTCACAGAAGCAAGATAAACTGCTTGTACAGGTTGCATTCGGAAACAGATCAAAACTGAGGGATATTTTAGTTGGGGAGCGCTTTCATGTAATGCTTTTCTAATGTAAAAACTTGTCTGCTGTAGCATGGAAATCCCCATCTTAAATGTATCATCGATCTTAAATAGATTCTAAATTGCAAAAGCAAAAACATTTTCACATTTCACAAGCTGCAATTAAGCAATTAATAGACATTAATTTCATTTTGATCATCTTATTTGTCATGGAAACTTTCACTTCACTGGTCATTATATTTTCTTCTTACAGATATCTTACTTTTTTGGCTGTAAGCTTATTTTTCTTATTCAGAAAATAAACTGCTTTATCAACCACAGCTAAGGCAACTGTTCCCACATGGTCCGTTTCAATCAACAAGTTGATGTTGTCTGCTGGTTCATATATCTCTCGCTCTGTTCTCACTTTAATCTAAACAGAAAAGATTGAAATAAAAATGTCACCTTTGTTAATAAAAAGCAAAGTCTTTCTGGGCTGGGAATACTGCTGACTGTGACTGTCAGCAATGAGAACGTGGGGGATGCTCCTGTTTTTTGGTGTTTCTGCCTGGGATCCTGTGTTTTGGAAGATGTAGAAGCAGACATCTCCCACCGTGGAGGGTTAAAAGGTGTCTGAGCAAGATATTGGGTGCTGCCTTTCAATGACACTTAAGTGCTCATGGGAATTAAAAGTATGTGTAAGGGTTTTGCTGAACAACAGTGCCACTTACTATTTTCCAGTGGAAACAAAATACATGAAATACAGCAAAAGACTAATTAACACAAAAAAAACCCCCAATCCTGACTTAAACCAGTCTGTAGTAGTTCTACCTCCTTTCTCACACTTGAATTTTCTGACATGACTGGATTCAGATCTGGTGTATATCTGACATTTCTGTGGTTTAGGAGGAAGTAGCCATGGTGTTTATGGAATTATCAGGGAAGTATTAATAGAAATGCCAACTTGAACATAGCTGAGGTTTGTTGATATGAATGAAAAATTGGCTTGTGTGTTAGAGATGGGTAATTTTTGATGAATTTTTTCCCCAATAGACTACCACATAATTTTTCAAAATAAAACAGGGGTTTTTTTGGGAAGAAAAATCATTCTAGATGGCTGACATGTTTCAGCCATTGTTTCATGCTATTGGGAAAAATTCTCTTATGTTTTTCTTGTTTTATGTTATGGTATCAAAAAGAAGGAAGAGGAAGATGAAAGAAAGGCTTGGAGGGACTCCTATTTTGTGCACACTTCATTTTCTAATGTAAACTATACCATTTTCTTTAAAGTGGTTTTGAAGTGCTACAAAAACTCAGAAAATTACTTTGAACAACAATGAAGAAGCTTGAAAAATTACTTCAAATTCTTTTCACTCCCCATTAAGTTACTTCACTTTCTTTCATGTGATGTACCTCACCAGGAAAAAAACCAAAACCAAGTTATGTACAGATTCTTCCCCTCAACATTTCTGTTAGTATTCTCCTACATATTTCTAACATATAGACACTTGCAGGGGAAGATTAATCTGTATGAAACTCTATTTTTCATGTCTTTGGGGCACAATGTATCCTATGGAAGAAGACTATCTCTGCCATCACTCCTTGGAGCCTTTCCCAGCTACGCCTTTTAACAAGAATTCTAATGACCCCATTTTTTCAATAAAAACAAAATGTCTTTTACTTTTTAACCCGAAGCCTTCACTTTTTGTGCTGGTACTCCTTGTTTTTGTTTTTATTTTGGAATAAAAAACCACAAGTTAATTGCTTTGAAAGTACCTTTCCTTCACAGACATCCATAACATCCACCCATACAGAATCAGCAACAATTTCTTGACGGCCCTTGTTTGTAACGAAGTAGTAAGCTAAAAAGCGAAAGGCAGGCACCATTTTGTCGGTGACTTGAAGGCTTATAATTTTTTTTGATGAGGGGACTCTCCCCAAAAGCTCAACTTGTCCTCTTGCCACAGCCTGCAAGGAAGAAACAGATAGAAATCAAATATCATGAATACATACTAGACTGGGCATTATGTTGCGTAATTTTATATATATATA